TTTTTTTTTTTTTTTTTTTTTTTTTTTTGGTATCTGGTATCAAACTCAGGAGCTTGCACTTGCCAGGCAGGTGATGTGCTGCTGAGCTAACTCTGTAGCCCTCATTTTCCTTCTGGTAATAGCAACCCAGTGATCCTATGGGACACCATCCTGTATGCACTGTCACCCCGTGGAGACTCAGGGTGTTGTAGGATCCACTACAATCATTCAGTATGGGCACGGTGAAAGGGTCAGAGACTGAGGAGTGAGCCAGACTGAGGCTGAGTTCTGGGACTGTGCTGGGTTCTGTTAGGAAGAAGACTGAAGCTTGTAAGGATGTGATAAGCCCAGAGCCCCTGGGAACTGCCCTGGGCAGGAAGCTCATGCTGAGAATGAAGAGGACACTGAGAAATGGATGGAAAGTTTGGTGATATCCTTTGAGCCTCTCAATCCACTGATGCCTGAGTCCCAGAATCCCCTCTGACTTTACATGAGTAATAAATCTTTCTCTTCCCTTTTTTTTTTCCTGGTTTGGATGAGTTTGAATCGGGTTTTCTGTCACTCGTAAACCCCACCCCTGAAAAGAAACTTGACAAATGTGCAAATGCGTGATCTCATTGGTTAATTTGAGGGCAAGCCAGTGTAAGAAGGCTAAGATTACAGCAGTAGTTTGTACCAGTAAAACACTGCTTCTTTTTGTTATATGCATTCTGTTCCACAGCAGAATTACTTGAAATAATGTTTATATACAAATGCTTTAAAAATAAACATAAGAGCTGCTGAGTACAGTGGTATATACCTATGATCCCAGGATTCTGGGAGGCTGAGGCCTGGAGGATCATACGTTCAATCTCAGCCTAGACAGCTTAGTGAAATTTCATCTCAATAAATAAATAAATAAATAAATAAATAAATAAATAAAAATAAATAAGTAGGACCATGGATGTAGCTCAATGTAAAGGCCCTAGGTTTAATTGCCAGTACTGTAGAAACAAACAAAACAAAAACCGTAAGATCTAAAGACAAAAGTTTTACAGCCTCTGTGGCCTACAAAACAAGGTCGAGTGCATGTGTAGCAAGTCCTTCCAGATCTCCAGGCATCTGTCTGTCCTTAACCACTTTGCTAGCTTCAGGTCTCACATCCCTTCCAGGCCAGAATTCCAGGGCTTTCTCCAAATGCATCCACTTGTTAGCTCAGAATTCTGTGTCTTGCTTAGTATCTGTTTGGTGCTAAAAATAGACCTCTCTCTAGTTTTTGGTGTTTTCACTGTTTTTGCAAAAGTTCAGTTGCGTCTCTTTACTAAAGCCTCTAGAATCCCTCCATAGGGAAACAACTGCTCTGCCTTCTGCTTAGCCATTGGCACAGTCTTACCAGGGTGCTTAACTGCCTTCAGCCATGTCTGGAGCCCCCAGGGCAGGGCCTACATCTTATTCTTCTGTGTATCCCTCCTGCATAACCCTCTCTGACACATAGTAGATGCTCCATGTGGATTTTTCAAGGGAAATTTCAGTGCATTGACTTAGGGCTGCTTCTGTGCTTGTTTACTGTCTGAAGCACTCCAGGTCCTTGTCATCTAAGGTTTAAAGAAGCTGTCTATACTGCATAGTAGTCTTGTTGGCATTCACAATCATCAAACACCATAAATGACCCAATGTCCTACCCACTCAAAGAGTCTCAGTCTGAGGATGAACTTTTATGAGCTCTAGTTATTGGTCAAAATATAAACGGCTTGGTTTTAATGAGGCCTTGAACCAAACTTAGAAATTCATAGATCAAAGTGGCTTGAAGTTTCATCCTTATTATGGATATTTCCATTCTACATCAGTTCATATTTCAGTTTAGTGGTTTCCTACTCTTTTTCCATGGTAATTTCCATGTATCAAGGGAATGGAAGATGCTTATCCAAGGAGTTTACAAGTTTTGTTCTGTTTCTGGCCACCCTGGGTGTGTCACCTTCTTTGAGCATCACTCATGCCTCATGTCACCTTCATTGGGCCACTTAATTGACTTGTGTGCTTTGGGCCAGCTGATCCAGTACTGACATCCTTTATTGCTTTCCTAATGATAGATAGTCTACCTGTGGGTATTAACCACTCCCAACTTCAGCTGGACTTGTTAGATGACATTAAATGCTTTTAAACTGGACTTCTCTTTTTCTGGATGGAATTTCTTGGGGATCAAGCTCCCCAGGCCCTCCTCCCAGCTAAGGAAGGACATGACTGTAGACTTTTGCCCTGTATCATAGTCAAGACTTCATCACCCTCAGAACAGGATCCTTGTCTGGCAGAACTGCCTCTGGAGTGTAGTTAGCAGTGATGATCCAGCTCCTACTGACTGATTGGGGCAGTTGTCTCTGGAAAACAACCATATAGCTAGGGAGGGAGTCCACAATGCTAGGGTTGTTAGGATGGGCTAGAGTTGGTCCAGAGGAAGCAAGTCTAAGCTCTTGTCTTTGGGACTGAATTCTGCTGTACCAGTAGTGCAAGGAAAGAGGATGCTGGCAAGAGTGGTAACAAAGTCCTACACCCTTGGGCAGTCCTACTTTTCTGGACTGTGCAGGCCAATTATAGGTTGGAGGACACTATTTGGGACATTGCTGACATGTTAAAAGGAGATGGCTAGTCTGGTTTTCCAATCTTCAATTATTTTATTTTCAGGTTAATCTTCTATATTGATATGGTTGTCTGTTGGTAGCCTACTCTTGGTTTATCAAATTGCTCCATTCTAACATCTGGGACCACAGAAACATTACAGGAGTCATAAGATCAAAGGGCAGTGTTTTCTGTTGGTACTTGGAATGGATGTATTGCTTTCAATGATTAAAACATACAAAAATTGAAAAACAATTTTCTTATTCCCTTTTGATCTTTTTTGTGTTGTTTTCCAAATAATGTAGAATTACCCATGTTTTTTAGGAAATTGAATAACATAGTTAATAAAATATGATCATAAATGACTCTCTGATCTCTGCAATGCATGCAGAACAGTCTATTGCTAAGGAACGGGTAAGCGTTTTGGAATCTGTTGAGTCTGGGCTCAAATCCTACCCCTGGCTCTAAGAGGTTCAAAGGTAGAATATGTGTCCAAGTACCTGATTCTTGATAATGTGGTTTATTATGCAATATGTACACATTTAAAGGTAAAATTAAGTCGAGAGCACTTTTCTTTAGGCTTTGGCTATGTATGTATCCAATGCCATGTACTTGGCAGTTGAGCATGGAGTTTGAGACAGTAAAGTTTTTAGCTTTGATGCAAATTCATAACACTTAAAAATATAAGATGTATATATTGCAATATATATTGTGCTCTCTATATACGTCCATCCACACAATATACATTGCATTCTATCTGTCTGTCTGTCTATCTAAAGTATGAACTGTGTCCTGTCCCCAGAGATCCTGTCATTTTTATAAAGAAGGCAGTGGTGGGTGGCACCTCCTTTGCTTGCAGACTTCCTCTTCTTGCAGTTTGATCCTGAGAGTGGTGGATGTTTTCCTGTATCCTCAAAGGACTTATGGTTCAGTTGATACTCAGAGTAGCTTCCACTTGTTCCTACAGAGATTTGAAACAAGGGGCTTATTCGTCATCTGACTCAAAAGACCCTGGACAGAGAGAAGGAGAAAGAGGAAGTCAAGAGATTTGGGAACTGGAAGGAGATGAGTGCTCTCTGTATCTGCCTGGCAGAGCAAAAGCTCCTAAGTACAGAAGACATAATGACTGCCTTTGTTTGCTGGAAGGTTGTGAGTGTCTTTGGTTTTCTAGTTTCTGCCTTCCCCATAAAAGCAGAAAAGCAAGAGCAGAAAACCAAGAGTTTCCTGGCATCCAGCACTTTGTAGTGCCATGATATTAAAAAAAATTTAATTCACTGATACACAAATTTAGGAGGGAAATGTGAAATTGTTGCATAAATGCATGCTGTGTTTAAGCCCAGTGGCTCAAAATTATTATAACTGTGTGAGAAAAAACACAAAACATGAAGCATTGTAATGTTATTAACCGAGCTAAGTCATCTTAATTATGTAATGTGCACTAACTATATTTTAGGCACACATCTTTGCCAGATTTCCATTAAAAGTGGGGGAGGGCAAATAAAGTCCCTCCCCCATGCATTAAAATATGCTGGTAGCAACCTTTGTATAATTTTTATCATATGGAGGTAAAGGCATAGTGTCCGCTTCAGTTTGAATACCAGTTCCACCTTTTATTTACAAGTCTAACCTTTCAATGACAGGTTTCTTGTTACCAGGTTATTGTGAGAATTCAGTGAGTGAATATGTGTGACATGGCTGGTAATTGGCATTATATATGGGTAATAATTCCTCTCCTCTTATACACTATCAGTTTCTTCTCACTAAGATTTGATGAAGAATGTAAAGTAGGAGTTATTAATGTCTTTGTGGGGAATAGAAAGCTCAAAGTGACCAATTATCTTCTCTTGGATCAAATATTTAGCAAGTTATAAAAGTGGGATTGAAATTCAGACATTGTAGCTTTCCACTGTATCTCCCTTTATTTTAGGAAGCTATACACTCTGCTTAGTCTTCTTGTACATGCTGGCAAGAGTGGGGACCATGAATTAAACATAACTTTTTTTTATTTTAAAGAGAGTAATACATGAGACACAAACAAACAAAAAATAGAACAGTAGCAGCATACCAGTATCACAAACATAAACAAATCAAAGCAAGAACATTCAAAGTGATACAGAGTCTCAAGACAGATTAATAAAAATCAACAGTGGTTGTTACATTGCATATCGCTATCCTCAACTACATTGCTCAGATCATCAGATATAAGAATGAAAGATTGCTCAAACCATTAAAGAGAATAAGAAAATAATTCTTCAATAAGACATTAGAGATAATATAGTTTCACTAGACAAGATGGTAGGAGTTCTCCATTGTAATTC